TTACCTTAAAATGCCACACCCACAGCCAAAATCTGCAATAGTCTTGCTTTCAATGTCGTCATAATTGAAATGTGCAGTGAAAAGCATGCGTGCCGCAAGGTGTGGTGTTGTACAATATTGTTCCAATTCAATTTTTGGCTTATCTACGTTTATCAAAAAGAGAGATAGTGTGTAAATTTATTGCAAAGTGTGTCTAATTTATAGTGACTGTAATTATTACCAAACACTGCAACATTTTGAAGAGAACTTTCCAATTCTTTGAGACGCATCACGAAAAGCCAAAATTTTGTTAGAATATCACAGATTGATTTTAAGTATTATTTATTTGATTGACTGGAACTATGCAACCTGCAGATCCTAATTTATAGATTGTGATTGGTCAACTAAATTAATCGGTACGGTAATTCTACTCTTACGTCCTGATTGGATGAATCCGACATTCTCAGTAATGAATTTTTTTTTTTTTAACTTTGAACAAAAGATATCTCAGCATCGATTTTGGGTAAATAGTTATCGAGGTATCCTCGTCCAAAGTTCAGAAATTATCAAGACTGCGGGTAAAACTTTCTAAATTTTGAGCAATGATATCGATGAAAATTTTTTATTTAATTCTGTGAATCCATGGAATCAAAATAAAAAAATTTTCGTAGGTAATTATCAAGATATCCTCGTTCAAAGGTTAAAAATAATTTAGACAATTGGGGTCTTTGCCTTGAAAATGACCTTACAAGGCAAAGACCCCAATTATCAAAATGGTTTACGGGCAAGTTTTTGAACAATATTTGACTGATCGTTGATTGATTATCTACATAAGACGTCAAAATTTTTTAGCCAATCAGAGGTTTAGCGTGATACAAAAACATATGACTATTTATTATTGACCAACTCGGAACACTACCCGCAGTCTTTTTTTTTATTGTTCTGATTAGCGCCTAAGGATATCTCAATAACTACCTATCGCTATTCAAAATCGATGAAAATTTTTTATATTCATAGAATTAAAATAAAAAAAAGCTTCATTGATTCTGGATAGATAGTTATCGAGATATTATCTCTCAAAATTTAAAAAAAAATTAATTCTATCGCTATAAATCCATAGAGTAAAATAAAAAAAATTTCATTGATTTTGAATAGGTAACTAGTTGTCAATTAGTTAATTTTTCAACGATTTGGATCACTGTGGGTAAATTTTTTTAACATTAAATTTTGAGCAATGATATCTCAATAACTACCAATCCAAATTGGTGAATTTATTTTATCTTAATCTTATGGATTAGAATTAAAATAAAATAAGATAAATAAAATTTATCGATTTTGAATAAAGAGTTAATCCTTGTTAAAAAAGTTCAAAAATAATTTAGGCGATTGTCAAGATTGCAAATTTTTCTAAATTTTGGATTCCTATTAGAGCTCCAATCCGTCATCCGTTTATTATCCGGATAATTCAGATCGCTCAGTTATCCGGATAATCCAACAGGTATGGATAATTATCTGGATACCAATAGTAAATGGATAGTAAATGGATATCCC